CAACAAACCAAAAAGGCAACCTAGTGATTAAGATATTTGCAAATGCTATGTCCAATAAGGGATTAATATCCAAAATATGTAAAGAACTTATACAACTCAACACCAAAACACGCCAAACAATCCAAATAATTAGTGGGCAGAGGACCTGAATAGACATTTCTCCAAAGACATACAAATGGCCAATAGATACATGAAAAATTGCTCAGTGTCACTAATCTTTAGGAAAATGCAAATCAAACCCATAATGAGATCACAACTGTCAGAATGTCCAGAATAACAAAGACAAAAACAGCAAGTGTTAGTAAAGATGAAGAAATCCTTGTGCATTGTTGATGGGAATGTAATTTGATATAGCCACTATGGAAAATGGTATGGAGCTTCCTTAAAAAGTTAAAAATAGAAATACCATATGTTCCAGTAATTCACCCACTTGGTATTTACCGAAAGAAAATACATCACTAACTTGAAAAAGATATATACCTCTAAGTTTACTGCAGCATTAACAATAGCCAAGATATGGAAGCAACCTAAGTGTCCATCAGTAGAGGAATGGATTAAGAATGGTGAATGTGTGTGTGTGTGTGTGTGTGTGTGTGTGTGTGTGTGTGTGTAATGGACTAATACTCAACCATAAAAAAAATGAGATCTTGCCATTTGAGACAACATGGATAGATCTGACCTAGAGGGTATTATGTTAAGTGAAATAAGAGAAAGTCAAGTACCATATGATTTCACTTATTTGTCAAACCTACAAAAACAAAACAAATAGGGGCACCTGGGTGGCTCAGTCAGTGGAGCGTCCAACTTCAGCTCAGGTCATGATCTCCAGTTGGCGAGTTCGAGCCCCGCGTCAGGCTCTGTGCTGACAGCCCAGAACCTGGAGCCTGCTTCTGATTCGGTGTCTCTCTCTCTCTCTGCCTCTCCCCCGCTCATGCTCTCTCTCAGTCTCAAAAATAAAGATAAACATTAAAAAACAAAAAATGCAGAAACAGACCCATAAATACAGAGAACTAATGATTGCTAGAAGGATGGGAAATAGAAAAATGGAATAGAATAGAAGTAGAGTAGAAGATACAGGCTTCCAGTTACGGAATGAATAAGCTACAGGAATGAAAGGTACAGCTTACTGAATATAGTCAATGGAATTGTAATAGTTTCTATGGTGATGATGGTACCTACACTTATAGTAAACAGAGCATAACATATAGAGTTGTTGAATCACTATGTTGTACACCTGAAACTAATATAGCATTGTATGTCAAGTATATTTTAATTTAAAAATATTTTAAAATATTAAATATGAATTATTGATATATATTTTCATTTAATTAGAATTTATTTGTAACTTAAATAGGCCCCCAAACCTTAAAAAAATAATTCAAAGATTGGTTTAAGTGGGTCTTAATTTTTTTTTAATATCTTTTTTTAGCGTTTATTTATTATTGAGAGACAGAGACAGAGCATGAGCATGGGAGGGGCAGAGAGAGGAGGAGACACAGAATCCAAAGCAGGCTCCAGGCTCTGAGCTGTCAGCACAGAGCCCGACACAGGATGCGAACTCACAAACTGCGAGATCATGACCTGAGTCGAAGTCAGATGCTTAACGGACTGAGCTACGCAGGCACCACAGGGGTCTTAATTTTTCTAACATTGTATGTTAACCTGAAATGTATCTATCTCTTCCTCAGATTTTCAGAGTGAACATAAAGTAGGTCTGCATCATTTTGTTAAAATGTGGGTGCTTATTTTAAAATGACTTTGTCAAGTTTTCTGATTATTTCCTTTCACACTTGATATTCAAATCATTTTCTCTGGAGGTATCTATTGTGTCATTATTTGTGTTTGTTTTGTTAACAGGTCCCACTCTTCCAGAACCATACTTTTTATTGGCTTTCCGATTTAAGCAAATCTCCAAGAATATTTTCCTGGACTTCATTCAATTCAACATCTTCATAAATTTTGAGCTTTTACTTTACATTGATTGTTGTTTGGGTTAAGCTAAGCCAGTCAAGTATGACATTGTCTGAATGAGGCAGATAAGAATACTAATGACAAACAAGGAAGGGGCTGGTTGAGTAGATACTAGTTATGTAATTTGATCATTTGTGAATATTTTAATTTTTTTGCTTTCCTACTCAACCTCTTAACTTTGAGGATTTAAATAATAGCAAAAATAATTCCTTCTAGTTTTTATGTATAATACTTAATCCTGATCCTGTAAATGGAAAAGAAACCAAGAGAAGTCAACTTTGTTCCAGAAAAATAACAAAGGTGTGAATGGCTTCTGTAATACTGAGCTATCTAGAATTTGCCTATGTTGGGGCACCTGGGTGGCTCAGTCAGTTAAGCATCCAACTTCAACTCCGGTTGTGATCTCACGGTTTACGAGTTCAAGCCCCACAGCAGGCTCTATGCTGACAGTTTGGATCCTGGAGCCTGCTTTGGATTCTGTGTCTCCCTCTCTGCCTCTCCCCCACTCACACCCTGTCTCTCTCGCTCTCAAAACTAAATAAACATTAATTTTTTTTAAAAAACAAAGAATTTGCCTATGTTAATAATCATCTGAAAGAAAGTGAAAGCCATGGCTTGGTTTCGTAACCATACTCCTAAGCCAGAAGTAGAGAATTATCTGTAAACAGCAGTGTTAGAATAAAATCACAATATCTTTTACCCCAAGAGGAAATGGAGCCCTAGCCCCCTCCTTTCTCAATTGCAGTTAAAGGGGTCAATCACCAACTTGGCTTGTCAGCAAAAACATCACAAAATATTACACCTTCTAATAAAATGATAATCAACCACATGCCAAATATCTGCATAACTGAGGAAAATCCTTTCTATTTTCTTTTGTAATGATTCTTACCAGGATTCTTAAATATTAAAGGAACAAAACTTCCCAGATTTAAAGTCGGTTCATCCATAGACCTGAACCCATTATGTCATGGGATTTTTTTTATGTTTATTTTCAAGAGACAGACAGAGAGAGAGAGAGGGAGAGCACACAAGCTGGGTTGAGCAGAGGGAGAGGGAGACACAGAACCAGAAGCAGGCTCCAGGCTCTAAGGTGTCAGCACAGAGCCCCATGCGGGGCTCGATCCCACCAGCCGTGGGATCACGACCGGAGCTGAAGTTGAACACCCAACCGACTGAGCCACCTAGGCTCCCCCTTTAATTTTTTAAATGTCACGTTAGTTTCTTAATCCACGCAGAACTTTCCGGAAAAAACCTGGTTGCTATGAATAATTTGCTTGAATGCTTGTTCAGTAATTCCCGTTTGCAAGGGTGACATGCCTACATCTCTCCATTTCAGCTTGCTATGTCACACTCATGATTTTGTAAACAGCACGACAAATGGAGGCTAACTCCTGCTAGAAAACCAAGGCTTTGAAAGGCCGTGGCAGAAGTGGAAATACGTCTCTCTCAAATGTCAGAGTTCTTGTGTGCAAGTCTTGTCTCTGTCCTAATTAAATTACAAGCAAAGCTGTTTCTGTCTCATGGGACATCTGCCTCCTCGCTGACAGGAGCCCTCTTTTCCCTCCAGGGTAGAGGGTGGAGGAGGCTGGGTCTTGACCTGTCTCCACCAGGCCTCAAGAAGAACTAACAGGATAAAATAACATCCCTCATTTCAGTTCATGAAATGAATACCATTATCTGAAAAGTTATGTTTAGGAGAAATCCGTGAAAATATCCTCAAGGTAGGGCATCACTATAGTTTTGAGCATGCCTTTAGCTATGTTGACGGTAAGACTTATTCAAGGATTTTAAATGTATTGCTCATCACAAATGCAGTAATTATAGCAATTGCTTAACAAAAGGTAAGAATTCTAACAATGAACATTTTGGTATATAATAAAACCTTAATAATCTAAGAATAATGGATGCAAAGCATCTGAAAAATCTTTAACTCAGGGGCCCCTGGGTGGCTCAGTCAGTTAAGCATCTGACTCTTGGTTTCGGCTCAGGTCATGATCTTGGGGTTTGTGAGTTCGAGCCCCAGACTGGGCTCCCCACTGACAGCATGGAGCCTGCCTGGGATGCTCTCTCTTCCTCTCTCTCTGCCCCTCCTTCACTCTCTGTCTCTCAAAACAAATAAACTTAAAAGAAATCTTTAACTCTTCTATGTTAAATAAATTGTTTTAAACTAAAAATTTATAAAAAAACAAATAAAAATTTATAAAATGTTGTCAAAAGGTAGACCTATCTGATTTGGTTTAATTATATGCAATAAAAAAATCTTTTGACATCTAAATGTTTTATGTAAATATAGAAGCAGCTTTAGCAAGACCTAAAGCAGTATTCCAAGTCTAGTTTCTTTGCAAAATTGTACTGATCATTTACTTGCTGTACACTTCTAAAAGAAACTTTAGTGTTGAAAAATACCAGACTGATTTATACTAATACCCATTTTTCAAAAAAAGGAAAAGATTTTGCCTATGTTAATAATCAACCTGATGGAAGAAAAAGCATTCACCTGAAATGAAAAACAAAATATGCAACTCACACCCTTACTGTGTCACTTAAAAGTTGAACTCCCCTGTCCAAAATTTCCTTTCTTCTAAATAAAGCGGTTTGTAATCTGGAGTCATTGGCATCACAATCTAGGATATTTCCACGTCAGAATTGGTGGGACCTAAAATCATTTGTTCACCAATGGCACAAATTCAAAGCATTCGTAATTCCCAACTTTTGACACAACTGCAGAGAAACTTCTACTACATGTGTAAGATAGACTGAAAATTGATTTTTCCAAAAAGCACGTGTTGGGAGGTCTTCACCGTGTTTCCACAATGCAATGAGAGGTGATTGCCCGGACAAGGAGTCATACTCAGCCACTCATTTCACATCAGGTTGCTTTTTGGTATTTCTGTGAACGGATGTATTTGATTAAAGGTATCAGTGGCTTCTCACAAAAGAGTAAGTGAATCAAGTCAACAGTTTAGTGCTCATGTTCAAAGTACCGGAACAAAAATTGTTCCTGTTAATTTTGTGATTATTTTTTCTAGGACCCACCGATCTCAGCATGAAGAGGCAGTTGGCGACTAGCTCAGGATCCTCCAGCAGTTCAAGCTCCAGACCCCAGCTGAGTCCAACCGAAATCAATGCCGTGAGACAGCTCGTTGCAGGATATCGAGAATCAGCTGCATTTTTATTGCGTTCTGCAGATGAACTGGAAAATCTTATTTTACAACAGAACTGAGTCAAATGACGTTCCTATTCACTGAGGTCTAAATTTGCAGTTTCCACTAATGACATTTTGATTTCCCAGCAGAGATGCTTCTGGTCTTACTGCACAGTCTTAAGAGAAATACTTCCATTATGCCACATTGTCCTTGATCCATAAAGTGATGTGTTAAGGTGCTTCAAAGGAAGTCTGACCTCTGAAGTACTTGAGATACAGTAATGTGTCCAGCTCACTGCTTTTTGTTTTAGTTTGTCAGCATAAATATCAGGGGCAAATAAAGGCTGTATATTCCTAATTCAAGGATAAAACAGAAGAAACGTGTGGTATTGATAGTTCAAGATTCAACTGAAATATTAGTGGAATCTGCTACTGACTTATTGGACTGAAAGTTGCAGTATCTGGCAAAAAAAAAAAAAAAAAAAAAAAAAGCCAAATTTCTTGTTGCTACAGGATATAACAACAATGAGACGGATCTTGTATTTTAAAAAAATATATATGTAGTTTTTATAAAAAGAAAACTTGTTTTTCATTCAAAATGGTCATTTTTACTTTGGTAACTTTTTCATAGGTCCTAAAAAAAAAACTGTTTTGAAAAACTACTGTAAGTACCTTTTCCACATCCCTTTGCCTTCTCCTCTTTCCAAATTCTTTCTACAAAAATAACGATGCTGGAAAACAAATCCTTGCTACGTTCTTTAAATCGTCACATCAGGAAGTACTTCCAAGAGAAGCCTGCGTTTCTGCACCCGTGCTCATCAACCCACTCAACATTGCAGTTGCGCCATAGCGGTTTTCATCACAGAATTTTTTAATATTAAAAAAGACATATCATTGAAAAAAAAAATATCACACCTTGGTTCCTTACAGCTGCTTGCCCGGGATTGACGCTGCTGTCTTATAGGCATGCCTCCAGCAGCAATGGGATGTAGATGGCTGAATGTTAAGAGGTTGCAAGTGACAATCTGAAAATGTGCACTCATGTGGTTTTTCTTTCTCGGTTTCAGAAATCGTTTCCAAAAAAAAGACCGTTCCCCTCTCCTGATAGGATTTGTATAATTTACAATTCTAGGTGAAAATGATGTAAAGAACTCTCAGTGGATGCAGCTGCAACTTTAAATGAACTGCCCCATCCTATCCACCCCCCCCCACTTTGTCCTTCTTTCTTATTTTATAGTGTTGGATACACATGAATGGTGTTTTCTTTGTGCACTGAGGCAAGCTTATTTTTAAAATATTTAGGGAGGAGTACATCTGTTTATGCTTCTTGTACGATTCTTTTTCTGTTGTTTAGCTTTGGTTGGATTACAGATTCTCTGTGCATTCCTGGATTTGCCTTATTTCATGTAGAACTTATGTCATTCCATTTTTGGTAATGAGTTTAAGGCATCAGTGATATTTCTTACCTACTTGTTACATATAGTTTTTCAAGTAATGACTGTGATTGTGACCAAGTAATGTGCACTTTTTCTTGTAACTGTGGACATTGCTATGCTTTTTTCTTCTAGTGTTTCTAGAATTACTGTTCCTTACAGTTACGTAAGCAAAACAAACAAAAAAACAAAAAAAAAAAAAGAACTTTTGTGATACTGTTGGTGAATATAATGTGAAAATCTTATTGAAATATGAGTATTTTGGAAATACATAGATGCACAAACATCTTTTAAGGTGTGGATTTAGAGTTTGCTTATTTAAATGAAAATTCAAAACTCGAGGGCTGGTATAATTTTCTCTGTTTTGTTTGGTTTAATAAACAGATTTCTGTGTTAAAACAATGATTGTGAAAAATTATAAACTTTCGAATGATACAATACTTAACTTTTAGCAGTTTGCCTCTAAAATATGCAATGCTATTTTGTACCTAACATTCAGCACAAAAAGGACAGTTTACCCTTTTATCTTAAGATTATCCCCAAACCCCCTGGAGTCTCAACATAGTCTAATAAAGAATTTATTCTAAGACAGGGTAAAGCAAATTAGCAAACCAAGAATATTTCACTTGATCATTTAAAACTAAAATTTTTTTTTTTATTATTGGGGTGCCTGGTGGCTGGGTTGGTTAAGCGTCTGACTCTTGATTTTGGCTCAGGTCATGATCTCACAGTTACTGGGATCAAGCCCTGTGTTGGGCTCTGTGCTGTCAGCACAGAGCCTGCTTGGGATTTTCTCTCTTCCCTTCCCCTCCTCCCTCTCTCTTAAAATAAGGTCTTATTTTTTTTAAAGAAAATGCTTATTTTTGTGAGAGTGAAAGAGTGCAAGTGGGGGAGGAGCAGAGGGAGAGGGAGAGAAAGAATCTTAAGCAGGCCTCCCTGGAGCCCAGAAAACTATGACCTGAACTGAAATCAAGAGTCAGACGCTTAACCACCTGAGCCACCTAGACCCCCCAGGTATTTATTTTTTTATTACTCATGAGTGAGCCATCTGGCTCTTTTAGTCACTCCTGATTTAACAACTTAGGAGAAACATTTGCCTGCTTGAGGTGCCTGTTTCCTGCTTTGGGTTTCGTTGCAATGGTCTTTGAAGATTTTGACAGGGTTGTTGTTTCACAAAGTAACAGGTTTGAGCTCTGCATCCACATAAAAAAATCCTTGATGGTGATTAATGAAGCAAACGCAGTAGAGGAGGTAAGTTTCAACACGGTTCTCTTGTCTTCATTACATTTCCACCTTCAATTTTAAGTCCCAGGCGTGCCCACCAAGAACTAGAGCCCCCCCCACCAAAGTTTCTGCTGTTTGAACATTTACCTACAGCACGAGGGTCCTGGGACTCCCATTATTTCTCTGGGAGAGGTCAGAGGCCAAAATCAAGCACTGTTTTTCCTTTGCCTTTAAGACTTGTACCTAAAAACACCGTGATCCTCTTTTAAACTGTCGCAGCAGAATAAAGAGATCACATCCCCCTTTAGAAAGCATTTTGGAGAAACTAGGTTCATATTCTCCGACTGAGGTAATAGAACACTATCATCAGAAACACAGGTCAAACACAAGTTTCGGCCACTTCTACCAGTTAACTTCCCTGACAACAGCAGTCCCTTGTTACATGTGTTACTTTTTCACACTTCCTAAGAAAACAGGCCTTGAAATGACCAGAGAACACCAACACAAGCAGTTACTGAATTTTCTTAAGTTGTGCAGTTCAAGCAACAATACTCAGTAAGAAAGGGCATTCACATATGAGGATAGCCACCACTTCACTCGTCGTTTCTACAGAGAGAGGCATTTTGTTTCCTCTCCCTCTCACAGTAACTGTAGATGATGAGGACAGTCACAGTCCCTTTTACAAAGAAAGCTCGAGAAGTTGAAGTGACTCACCAGGAGTGCAGACACGAGTGAAGGCTGCAGCTGTCATTGGAAGCCAGGCATACCTGATGCCGGAGGTCAGTGCCTGGTCACGGCTGTCTGCTGAGTCTGCTGCCTCCCAGGTACCGAATAATTGTATTCCACCCTGTGACTTGGAACCAGGTCTTTGTATTCAAGTTTAGCAGTTTTGTGTGGTAGATAAGTAATAGTTACTGAAAATGCTCTTGACATCAAATAAAGCATTTGACTTAACACCAGGAGTTTTATCCTGCTTAGAGAGGTTTAATTTCCTTTAAGTTACGTTCTCTGCAAATATAAAAAGCAACAATAAAACCCAGCACTAATGAAAATCAAATACACGAAGAAGGAGAGACCGTGGCTTTTTAACAGTGATGGTATCAGCAGTAAATCTGGTCAAGAAACATGAAAGTCATTATCCGTCTAAACCCATAAAGGTTAAGTTCTTTCACCTGAGATTTTAGTCTTAGCCTATACATAGTTGGTTATCCTGCTATTGTAATTAATCTTTACACCATTATTACAGATATCAGAGTTTAATCTTTGCCAAAAAATATTTTCTAATTTCATATTGCTCTGGTTTCAAACTTCATTTAAAAAAATCCAAAAATAGGGGCGCCTGGGTGGCTCGGTTGAGCATCCGACTTCGGCTCAGGTCACGATCTCGCGGTATGTGAGTTCGAGCGAGCCCCGCATCCGGCTCTGTGCTGACTGCTTAGAGCCTGGAGCCTGTTTCAGATTCTGTGTCTCCCTTTCTCTCTGACCCGACCCCGTTCATGCTCTGTCTCTCTCTGTCTCAAAAATAAATAAACGTTAAAAAAAAAATTAAAAATCCAAAAATAAAGCAGGGAGACACATTGAAAATCTGTTAATATGTTTGAGATGCAGAGATTTGGCAAAGTAAGGATTGAGCACACGCTAACCTCCAAGAGCTTACTGTATTAATTGGAGCTCATATCCACTCTTAAAGATTTTGAAGGGAGATAAAACGCTGTAACTGATCTCCAGTGTTAAAGTCAATGATATTCAACATTTAATTTTGTTTTTGGTTTGCAAAAGAAACTTGGGAAATAAGACAGAAGAAAAATAGTCCATAGAAAACCATTACCTAAACAAGTAAGTATTTTCGTGCAACTTTACTGTCATATAGTGTTACCTCAGCTGCCTTTCTAACCTAACATACCATGATTATTTCCCACATTACATGTTCTTTTTTCTTTTTAATGTTATTTTTGAGAGAGAAAAAGAGCATGAGCCGGGGAGGGGCAGAGAGAGAGAGACAGAGACGCAGAAGCCAAAGCAGGCTCCAGGCTCTGAGCTGTCAGCACAGAGCCTGACACAGGTCTCAAACTCAGGAAGCTGTGAGATCATGGCCTGAGGCAAAGTCAGACGCTTAACCGACTGAGCTACCCAGGTGTCCTACATGTCCTTCGTAAACATTATATTTTAATGACTGTGTACTAACACATTGTCTGACTGTACCTGTATTAGTGTTCTATTGGTGCTGTAACAAATTACCACAGACAACAGAAATTTATGACAAATCGATTTTAGTCCATGAGACTTCCAACCTAAGTTTAAGTAAAAGTGTTCCTCTCTAGAGGCTCTTGAGGAGAATGTTGCCTTGTCTGCTTTGCTTCTAAGGGCCCTCGTTGACTGGTGGCCCCTTCTTCCATCTTTAAATCGAACTCTGACTTCTGTTACCCTCCCTTTCCACTTATAAGGACTTTTGTGAGTACCTTGGGACCATGTGGGTCAAACAGGATAATCTCTTTATATTAAGGTCAGCTAATTAGAAATCTTAAAATCTTCTTCAAACTTAATGCCTTCATTTGACATACAACCAAACATTGACAGGTTCTGGTGATTAGAATGTAAACCTCTTGGGGGGCATTATTCTGACTACAGTACCTTAATTTCTTTTAAAAAATACTTCTCTGTGCCCAGATACTAGAGACGCATTTTCCAGTCATCTGTGTAGTAAAGATCCTAAGTGAGCAGCACAAACATTTTTCAAATAATGGTCAGTGGCTGTACCCACACTTTTTTTTTTTCCCTGTATAAAGGATATACCCTTTTGGAAATTTTAATGGAATTTTCCTCCAATGTGTCATATTCAAACTAAATATAATGAACAAATAAATATGGTAAAAGTACCACTAAATTTTCCAAGGGAAATAAAAACAAAAATACCTCTGAACCCTTTCTTCACTTTGATTTCTTAGAAGGTGGTCCACCTAAGAAATTCCCTGATAGATGTGTGAGAAGCTTCCAATTCCTTAGGCCAGAAAGGGTACATGAGAATCTAAGCTTCACTAAATTCAACTGCATTTATAAAACTTCTAGTGCTAATTCCTAGTGGCGTTTTATTTACTCTGAACAAATGATATATTTAACACTAAACGTTATCAGGTGACACTTCTTTTTAAAAAGGAGAGTTTGGCAATAACAAATATATTGCATTTAAGATGATCAGCTGAGTTTAAAAATTAAACTTCTTTGTTTCCTTGCTGGGACAACTATTTTTATCTACATGTTAAAATTTTTCTTTACTTTTCTTTACTGTTTTTCTTTACTTGAAAGGCTAGCCACTGAATGAAAGAAGATCAAGATAATTCAAGGCCATTTTTTTTATTTTTTTTTTTAATTTTTTTTTCAACGTTTATTTATTTTTGGGACAGAGAGAGACAGAGCATGAACGGGCGAGGGGCAGAGAGAGAGGGAGACACAGAATCAGAAACAGGCTCCAGGCTCTGAGCCATCAGCCCAGAGCCTGACGCGGGGCTCGAACCCACGGACCGCGAGATCGTGACCTGGCTGAAGTCGGACGCTTAACCGACTGCGCCACCCAGGCGCCCCTCAAGGCCATTTTTAATGCTATGAGAGAAAAAAATGCAATAAAAGCATAGACCACAGAGACCAAATGCTATTACTAACTGTGTGGGATTGGCACCATTCCTTTTTTTTTTTTCCTTGAAAGTTCTGATTTCTCATATTTGTTTACTGGAGAATGAATTAGATCAGTCTGCCTGCGAGAAAAGTTTTCTACTTGTTGAAGGTGCTCCATGATGGTGACCCAAGTGACCAAATCCCAGCATAGATTATTTATTCGTAATCCCTTCACGGATGGAACTATTCTGAGGTCTGCTCTCCTTGGAGTAGTAAGCCTCTTAGCTCGTTTTAATTTTTCATGTTAATGAATATATATTCTTTGACCTATTATGTGCTAGACATTGTGCTGTCATACAGAACAAAACTATTCCTGCTTCAAGAGGTCCCAGCTAGTGGAGAAGAGGGACAGATATTTACAATTCAAAAGGATAAAGATTAACAGTGCAACATGGCACGACAGAAACATGCCAGACAGATCAGAGGAGAGCACAGACCCTGCCTTGGCAGTAGAGGGGTGGGCTGGAGCTAGCTGGTCACCACAACTGGAGCTGTGGGCAATACTTGGC